TAAAACTGGTAAAACCAGGGGGAGAAAGGATTTTAATAAAAATTAGGTGTTTTTAACAAAATCTGTGAAAGTTTTCTGACCATTGAAAATCGAACCTTTTATCACAAAACCAAAAGAATAAAACATTGCTGGATATTTCTGAATAGTCGTAAAAGTTTAGAAATGCTCAGCGAAGCTGTAACCAGATGACCCATAGAGAGCTATGTATATTAAGAGCACAACAACAAAAACACACCTTCAAATCCAGAATTCTCATGGCTTTAAAAGCATTCTATTACAAGGAACATGAATCAACTGGGGAAGACTCCAGACAGCTTAACACCTTGGTATTGTTTGCACCTTTTATTGCAATTCTTCAGTGCCAGCTCAGGCGATTACTGTGCATGCCGAGGCGGTGAAGGCCGTAGGAATTTCATGCAAAAGGATACAGCTCTGCTCAGACTTCCTCCCTGCTTTTGCATCGTTCTCATTCTCCTACATCCATCTCTGTTATATCTAGCATTGTAATAACTGCCCTTATTTATTGGCCTCATTAGGATGTTGCATCAATTAATGTGTATCATCTAATGCACACCAGTTTCTTAATGTTTAATATTATTATCAGTGGAGAGCTATGTCATACTGAGTCTATCTAGGGAGTTAATGTGTACAGGGAAAAAAAACCCTATGCATAATGCTATTCAGAATGATGCATTTACCGTACCCAAACCCCTCCAACCAGACCACCACAAGTCCTGCACTCTAGGTTTCTATACTCTCAGAGGTTACAGGTAGCACTTTTGGGCCTGGGGCTCCAGGTCACAGGGTAATGTCTGGTTTTGAGGACCTGGAGCCCAGCGGACAAGGCAGGAGGAACGTCTTGAGGGGAGACTTCATGTAAATTCTCGATTCACAAGTGCCTCACAGCCTGATTCAGGAGGGTAATCAACCTGTCTTTTGAAGCTGCATAAATAATGTTCGGCTGGAGGTAGTAAATCTGCACCAAGGATGAATTAACTGCCATTGAGTCATATAAGCCTGGCTCGAGTGTGTGGCTTGTAACATGCCTGAGGAAAATAAAAAAGACATTTGCAAGAAAAAAGCATTAATTTGCTCCTCCCCGTCTTTTCTGTTATTTTTATCTAGGCCAACAGGACTTGCTTTGTGGGGTTTTTTTTTGTTGCTGTTTGTTCCATTTTCACAAGGAAACACTGATTCACAGTGAAATGAATCCACAGTTCCTCCTGGTCAGGCCTGAACGTGCCACCTCTCCTACATCAATGTCATTCCTTTTTAGCACCCCTGCTGGGAGATGCTGACCGCTCTCAGGGGAGCGACACCTTCCAAGAGGGTGCAGGCTTTTTTACTCATGGGGACCCCTGACAGTGTTCGTGCCCCCTTGCACACCCCTGCCAGGTCCCAGCTGCAGGTCTGGGCACTGCCAGGGCTCTCGGTCAGCTGTGCGATGGCACGGTCTTCTCCATGGGGAAGGGTAGGCCCATTACTGTAGATGGACCCAGGCACAGGCGCTCACGCGTCCGTGTGTATGTATGCACTGCAGGTCCTTCTGATCATGCATCTTGTGCGCAGCTGCGAGCTGCTACATCCCCAGAAGAACAGAGAAAGACTGTATTCATGAGTGCCTGAGAACCAGGGATAAAAGCCTGTCCTAGAAGAAGGTGGAAATAAGAAGCAACCCAGGGAAGGCCAACCGAAGGTAGCAGAAAGAGAAGTGGGATGCCAGCGCGCACCTACACATCAGCATGAGTTAATTTACTTCACTGTAACACACAGGTATCTGGCCCCCTATTCAGTAACATACATTTCGGTTTACTAATAGCTTTCGCTCGTATCGCTCTCCTGTTTCCAGTGTTTGACCTCTGGTTTTCTCTTCCATTGCTCGCAGTTTTGTCTCTCTTTCTGAAAATTTGGCATTTGAGTTCCTTTTCCTCCTTCTTAGCTCTATCCCTCTCATTTTCTTCCTCGTCTTTTGGCACTGCACTTGCCGGTTCCTTTCCTCTCATCTCCTCCTTTCTCTCCTGCCTCCTTTTCCACACAAATAATTTCTCTAACTAGAGGGGCCTCTGCTTCTTGAACACAGCCATTTATCAGTGGTAACCAGTCGTTTCTGCTTCAAAAAATTGCTCTGGGAAGAATATCTGCTGTGGGGTAGTCTTAGCATATAGTAACAATTTAAAGATAAGCATTATAAATATACTATACCTAGCAGACAGCACAGTTTCAGAAGGTTGTACTAAGATCTCTTATTAGGCAAGGAACTTTTCACACCTAACCAGATTCTGAAGTCTGCTATATCTAACACAGCACCCTACATGACACAGTATGTAGTCTCAAACCAAAACCATAAACATATCGGGGCACATCCCTGAACGCATGTTCTGGGTTCATAGAGACCCCCATACTGGGTTCAGAGATCTTAGGAGCTTTTAATCTGATGAAGGAGAAGAAAAGAAAGAACGTTCCTCATGAATAAAATAGCATTGAACTAGAAAAAACACTTTGGACTATGGCTTATGTTTTACATATTGCTAAATATGAGCAAAAATAAATGTGTTCATTTCTCCAAAATACCTCCAGATGGCATTAAAACCCTTCTTTTTTTGGTCTTTATTGCCATATTATTTTTAAAAACGATAATTATTGGAATCATTCTATTAACCATTCCCAGCAATCATACTATCAGAAGGCATAAGGCTGCTAATGCTTAATTCATTTAATAAGTTTGGCTAAATATGCTCACATACTGTAATTACATTCCACAACACAATCTGCAGGACAAGCCATTTCTTACACCGTGTCAAATCTTTTTCTAGATTCATTTCCAGAAGATTTTTAATGTGTATTTGCAGCAGAAATCAAAACATCCCACAATAAATCACTGTTATTGTACCTCCTTCTGTGACTACTTTTGGCCATGTAACAAATGGTGACATCTTCTGAGATCTACATGATATAATGCTCTGAATTTAAATAACAGGCATCAGAAAACATAAATTATGGGCAAAATGCACTCTAAAATTCACACGACTGACTGTTACAAGAACTTCCCTCCCTCAAATGGGATTAAAAAGGTGAATGGTTTTGCAGAAATTCATAATGCTCCTGTCTGGTAGTTACAAAAGGAATTCACTTATCTAGCTCAGTTTGGGAGACTGATGCTGTTTATTTATTTTTTTTAACTTGCAGCCCATCTGTTTCATAGACTGGTTTATGTTGGCAAAACAATTCAGTCCTTTGTATACTGGAGTTAAAAATGGTAAAAGCTTCTATTGTTGCACCAGAGTGAAGGTGAACACTGATATATTACAAGTGCCTGTTCCTATCTATTTCTCGACTTCTTTTGTTAATTCAAAAACATCAACAAAATCGTGAGAGACCAGAGATAGCTGTAATTGGATTTCAAGTAATTCAGAGGTGAAGCTGCAGACTGCAGTCTTTTAAAATTACATCAGTACATCAAAGGCATATGTGACATGATGTTTTTTAGCAAGTGTGACAAACTCCGGCAGCATTAAGGTAATGTTGAAGTCAGGTTGTAAAGGCCAGCCTCGCACGCCCACAAAAATCATCGCATATCTATTCAGCTTGATGGGGAGCCATTTCCCTTGCAGAGATCTCTGACTTACTAGCATGCAAGAGTTCTAGGAATAATTAATGTTTAGTCATTATCTAAAAAGCCTTTTTAAGAAAAGCATCAGCGAAAGAGCTTTATCTTAATGAAAACAAACAAATTCTATTTTGCCCAACAAATCTGATAAAAACACAGCTGCCTTTCTCCGTTCTTAAATGCAAAAGTGACTTACGATGTATGGGTTGCGCTTTTCTCTGGACTCTTTGGCTCTACATCGCTTTTCCCTTTAAAAGAGAAGAAGAAAATGACATCAGAAATGGGTCAGTATGGAAGCTCCTCAGATGTGACGCGTCAATGCTTTATTCATTGCTAACGCTGACCACTCTTGCCGCGTGTGCAGGTGGCCTCCGAGGCAATCGCGGGGCTGCGGGGGCACTGCTGGAGCCGTTTCAAGTGGGGAGTCAACCCTGACTTGACTTTTCGTGTCACTGGCGCAATGCACTCTGGAAATGTCAGGCAAGGAAACCCCACAAGACAGGCTGCTTAGAGGACACAAGCTTTACCAGGGACAGCAGACCTTGGAGCCACAGAAAGGATTTCTCTAGGGCCCTATGGTTCCACTATTGAGAGTGCACCCCATCCAACATGCACATGCTCCAAAACCTGCTCCAGGAACGGTAATTATTTCATACAAAGCAAAACAGCATCAGCAGGAGCTAGTAAGGCAGTGATTAGGACACAATTCTGCTGATGGATGTTTTGGTTCACGTTCATTTTGACAGATTAAGCATCTGATCTTCAGCTCCAGTAAGCGGGGGCTGGGGAAGGCCTTTTTGCTATGTTGTATATTTTGGCTTAGGCACACAACCCCAGGAGAAGTCAGGTACTCAAATGCTTGAGAAGTATCAGCGGCCCAAGGGATGTCTCTTCACATGTCCTTACGACTCACGTGGGTCCTGACATAGCATGTTGGCTTGTGATGATTCTCTTCTTGGGTCCAAAATCATGCATGTGCCCAACACAACTCAGTTAAATAGCACAGACCGCAGGGAAACAGGTTGCTACCTGATGGGGTGATACTGCTTCTGAGAAGTCAGGGCAAGTCCTTCTCCCTCCTTTCTCCCCCTGCTCCCCCAAAAGTAAGGCTGATGTTGTTTGCTGTAATTATTGTTCTCTGAGTAAGCAGAGAGAGTTACGCTTCAGCGTAAGATTTTCGTTTAGCTCTACCATGGATGTACCGGGTATGCCACTCCACCTGAATCACCTTGAACTTGAATTCTGGACCGAGCAACTGTGCAGCTGCTGCTCCTCTGGTGTGTCGCTGGATGCTAACAGCTGTCTACACATGAGTTTATGTTGCCTAGCAGACAAGGAGGCACAGAGGTTGAGTGTGACTGGTTTACTGATGGATGTGTTTTTCTCCATTACCTTTTAATGAGCTTCGTTAAACCAAAATCCACCTGTGCCTTCTGAAAAAAAAATGTGAGAAGTGCTTATTTTGGTCAGGCTGTTTCAGTGTTGTCTGATTTTCTGCTCATTGCCTTGAGTTGAGCGGGATTTGGATCAGCCCCCTACCTATTCCATGCACATGAACAGCACATATCATCT